AGTCAAATAGATGCATTTAATCCTATCAAAGTATTTATCAAGACGGTGGCTTTTTCCCGCGTGCCTTTTTGCTCATTTTCCTAATGAAAGTGCCTTTTTGGTGCCAAAGAGATGCCTTTCTTTTATGCAGGCCTTTCTGCTCACCTCACTTGTGCAAAGGGGTGGCTTAGCGATACGTGCTGTGCTGCCGCTTTGCCATTTCGGCTGCGTTTGTCGTCTGCCTTAACGGTGATGCACAGAGACAGCTGACCTTTGCGGAGCGAATGGCTAGATGCGTGTGTAATTAGAGAATTAATAGCGGGATGTCTCATTTACCCCAATTTGTAGAGTCGTATTGTTGAGGGCCGCTCTGAACACGGCTGCGGTAAATGCCAGGGCTGTCCCATGCAGCAGGGTCGCTCGTTTGAGACACCTTGTGCACTTGCTGCAGGAGCAGCTCGGAGCAAAACCCCGTCTGGGCAGCGGGACCAGGGCCAGGGGGCTGGGACAGCTCAGGCCCTAACGCCGTTGCCGTGTGTCCAGTGGGCAAACCCTCTCCTGCCTCTTTGTTAATGGCTTCATTGATCCTTGCGTAGTTTATGCTTTTATTCCGTTTTCCCCTTAAAATGTGCATTTAGGAAATACCCAGAGCCTTGTGCGTCCGCAGGGGAGCGGTTCGGGATGGGACACCCGGCGCAAGCAGCCCCTTCGAGCTCTCTTCTCCCTCGCATGTGCTGGAAGGTACCGGAGATCTGTTGTAGCTTTTGTCATCCCAAAGGGTGGGCTGAGCAGAACTTGACTTCTGATAGACTGAAGAGGAGAGCAGAGAAGGGTCCCTATGTCTGGAAAGCAAATCCTGGTCCCCCTTGGTTAAGGGAGAGGATTGGGACGCGCAGGCTCTGCGACTGACCTGAGCCCATCACCCGCAGCCCCGGCCCCTGCCTGACCAGGGGTGAAGATGCTGCTTAGGGCCAACTACGGCAGCGGTTTGGGCAGCTCTGCAGGAACCAGGACAGCTCTTTGTTTCCATGAAACCTCCAAGTGGATTTGATTGCTGCTAACCTGAGATGTGAGATAGAAGCAGAGAAATGAGGGCTTCGGTGATGACCCACTGCCGGTGCCTGCCCAGGGTTTAGCCCTCCTCCACAGGGTGATGCTCAAGCACTGAATGGTACTAGCAGAAATATTTTCTTTTTTCTTTATATTTATATATATATATAAATCCAGTGCTTGCTTTGAGCAAGCAATCTCAGTTCCCTTTGAATTATAGCACGAAGGATGGCTTTATTCCTTAGAGATAGATGAAGGGAATATGGGGGCATCTGGAGGCATCTTGAGGCACTTGGCATTTTAATCTTCAGAGAGGGCAAAGAACTGCTGCTTTGGAGAACGTGAGGACCTTTGGGGAGGGAGTTTGGTGCTTGTTAATATATAAGTGCTATAAAGTCCTCTGTTTTCAGGAAAAAGAGCAAATGGGGTGTTTTGTTCTCCATCTCTTGCTCCGTCGTTCTGCTCGCCCAGAACATCATCCCCGGAGAGCTGTCGGCAGCGAGGGGGTCCTCTCCAGGGTGGCGGTGCTGGGTTCCTCCGCCTCGCCATCCTCCCAGGTCTCTTCTGCACCCTTTAGCTCCAAGTACTCGTGGTCTTTGCAACTTGTGCCAGGTTTTCTGCACCAGCAAACCCCCGGGGCTTGGACCTGTTACAACTTTGCGCGTTTCCTTCACCAAAACCTGCCTCTCATTAGCCCGTTCCAAGTCCTGACAGGCTCAATCTGCTTCGTTTTCCCTTCCTGGCTGTGCTTGCATTCATTACGCATTAGGGCAGCCTAGGGTGGGTTAATAGAAGTAGTGGAAATAATCAGCATGTAATAAAAGACAAAATGTCCCAAACACCAGCGATAGCTTTTCTAGGGTAGGGGAGGGAGAAGATGATGGAAGGGAACATTACACAGACCTCCTTTTGCCATCAACCTCTTGAATAACGAATGGCTGAAAAAGCTTTTCTGCAGCAAATGGGGTTTGTGTGCATCAGCTTGAATTGAATTTCAAGGCTTTTTTTGTAGGATTCAGCATTTTTTTATAACAGTTGCATGCAAAGAAATTGAAAGAAGTTAGATGTTTACCCGTGTCTGCCTGAGCAGAGAAACTACCACAAAAACAACTAAAGCTGTGTTTAAATACATTGATATATCCATATTCCCCACCGAGGACCTGTAGGACTGATTTTTTTTTTCTGGTCCAATTTCTATTAATAATAGAGCTTTTCTGGGAAGAAAACGAGCAAGGTGGAGGTTATAAAACTGATCATCTGCTGAAGAGACACCCTGATTGAGGGTGGGAGGAAGAGGCCTTCGGGGTCGTGCGCTGTTCCTGCACGTGCAGGGGTGATAACGGAGCCTGTGTCGGGTCCAACGCAAGGACCGTGACGTGTTGGAGTTACAAGAGACTGAAGGAGTTTAAAAATAAATAAAAAAAGGAGATGCGAGGGCCTTAATTTGCTGTGTAGTGGACAGGATTTAGGTGCAATAGTCAAATCTCCTCCGTAGAATCTACTAGCAGGAATTAATTAATGAGAAAATCGCAAAGAAGTTGGTGTCTCCAGTCCTCGGCCTCTTTCCTACCTGGCCTGCAGATATCTCCTGCTTTGGAGAAGTCCAGAAAACCCCCTGCTGCTGTGCTGCTGCCTGGGCCCCTAGCAGGTTAATTAAAATCTTGTCTTACCCCATGCTAAATCAAGCAGTGATTGAAGACATTGGGTAACTTTTTAGTCTCTGTTTTTTTTTTTCCCCTCTCAGATCTTCTGTATGAGAAAGTCCTTCCTAGAGCTATATTTTTTGTAGGCCTCTGCTCACCTGAGGCCTACGGGGTGATCTGCAGGCCTTTAGCCCCCTTGGCTTCCATTGCACAAGTGTCTTCATGTCTAAGACCTCTTGAAAGCTACAGTTATGGCTTCCAGTTTTAATTAAACCAAAGATTTCATGTCTTTTTTAAGGCTCAAAGGGAGAGACTGGAAAGTTGAGAGTTGAGTGATACATCAGATGTTGCTTGGTTTATATATCACTTCTCTGTCACTGATCTTTATTTTTGCATTTCCTTTTCTCTGCTTCTCCAGGTGTCATCCTGACACGAGCATAGGCAAGGCTGGCGCTAGGGAGTGTATGGAGCTTGCTGGCAAGGAAGGAGAAGGAAGGGGCTGCCACATCCTTGTGTATCAAAACGCCTTGGAAAAGCTGTGCGTGAGAGTTCAGTTCTGTGGATAATCCCTATAAGCGCTCAGCCATCAGGAACAGCATCTCTGCTCGCTGGGCAAACACGAGATATTCAGCTCCTAGTGCAGCTCGCATTAGTAAAGAGAATTGTTGTGTCTGAACAGACACGCAGGAAAGGTGCAAAGGCTTTTGAATGTCCTGCTTAGGAGTGGCACTAATTCAGTCCTATCCGAGCTGTAAACCCTGTAAAATTCTTCCAAGTGGCCTGATTAGTCCTGAGGGTGTTTGCGTTCTATTGTTGTACATGTAAATTAGTGAATACTGAGACTTTTAGGCAGCTGCCCAAACTGAGAAGGGCAGAGGGGAAAATGCTGCTAGACAGTCCTGCTGAGCTGGAGCTTAGTAGCCCTGAAGGGAAAAGAGCTGAATGCAGGAAAGCAGCCACGCTCGGACTCGCTAAGGGGCTTTTTGTCCAGATTGGAACCATCTCTCCTTTTTTAGGGAGTTATTTGTATTGGAAATCTGGCCATATCCAGGCTGGCGTGGGAAGGAGGAGCGGGAGAGCCAGCTGGCTGCGATGGATGTGCTCGGGGTGCCCAGCCACCCCAGGGAAGGATTAGGTTGGTTGAGAGGGCACCCAGCTCCACGGGAAAAGCTGCCCTGCTCGGCACCTCGCGCCTTTGGTACCGTGGAAATTTGGTACCGTGCGGGACCATCCACGGAATGGAGCTGAGGGAGCCCCAGGAAAATCACAGAATGGCTGAGGTTGAGGGGACCTCTAGAGATCATCCAGTCCAAGGGTCTTCCCTTCTCCAGAGTGATGCCGGTGGCTGCCTGAAATCTCGCTTTCCTGGATGGGTTCATAAGCCCCCAGTGCAGGGTCCCCGTTAATGCTGTTTGCAGCAGTTGCCATGCAGCCACGTTTTGCCTGGGAGCTGATAGCAAACGCGAGAGAGATGAGCTTTGGGCTTAAGACCAAATAGTGCAGTCACGAGACTCTTTTCCATGTTTTCCTATTTGAAAACAGTTTCCTCACAGGTGTCACAGTCATTTTTGAAGACTCCGGACAAGACCAGTGCTGATTGCTCTTTTATTTTCCTTTTTTTTTTTTTTTTTCTGAATTTGATTATGCTTTATGTAGTACCAGTCTTACTACTCCTTTTTAACGACAGTGTGGAAAGTCTCAAACTTTGTTCACAGCCTTACTGTGTGGGAACCATGTGCACATGCAGTAAAGAGGGAGTCCCCACCACAAAGTGGTGTCGAGATGGGACTGAGGAAGAGAAAAAGCAGGACCTGGTGAGGTGCCCATGCTGCACCAACACTAGTTGCAGCTCTTTAAATGGGAGGAGAGATGTTTCTTAGTGCTTCGTTTGTGTAAGGCACTGAATGCAGATGAGCTGACAGATCCTTATGGCAAAAGCTGGGAGGTAACCAAGGGCAATTGGTCATAAGAAAACCCTTTCTGAGAGAGAGTCACTGCAGAGAAATTAATTTTTACCCTGAGTGGTCACGTCTTAAGAATGCAGTTTTTTCCATCGGAAGGCAGATGGGATTTTTGCAGGGTGTTCAGGTGCATGCTGTGGCCCTTGCAGCCTCTGCAGTGAGGGCAGAGGAGCAGTGCCCTGCCTGCCTTCTGAGTTTGCTTTCCTCTTTGCAATCGTGGCATCCTTTAGCTGAATAAGAAAAAGAAAGAGCTAGAGCTAGAAGTAACCCTTGCCACCACCTTGAAGCTCAGAGCAGTTGCACAAAGGTAGCAAATTAAAGTAGAATGATGTGAGCAGTGGTTTTGCTCTCTCCTGTTTCCACACAGCTCCTGTACGACAACCCAAAAGCCCGTCAGGAAGTGGAGTATCACTGGCGGGCGTCGGGCTGCCCCCACATCGTGCACGTCCTGGACGTTTACGAGAACATCCATCACGGGAAGAGGTGCCTCCTCATCGTCATGGAATGGTACGGAGCGAGCGGCGCGCGTCGAGGGGCCCGGCGAGGAGGGGGTGGTAGCACAGATGCCCCCCGCTACGTGACCTCTCTCCTCAGCAGCAGGATTTTCGCTTGCACAGCAAAGCTTTTGTTGCTCTTGCATAATGGGTAGGGAAATAACATAGCTGCCAACTCGCATGAGGGAGGAATGAGGAACCTTAAGCAGCAAAAAAACTTCCCCTTGCACCCCGTGACAATTAATCCTCCTGAAAGCATCAACTGTAATTCATAAAGTCTTGAGACACATCTCTCAAATATGATGAACTTTGATTGTGTTCAGCTTCCAACTTCCAAGATCTTTTTGCTACTATTTTGACTGTAACTTTCCCTGCTCTCTGTAGTACCACAGTTATTTGCTTCCAAGGAAGACACCCTTAATAATCCTTTTCGGGTTGTCTAGTTTCTTCTTTCCTTGTCTATCAAGTCCAACCCTTAGACAAAACAAGCCTGCCTGTGCCAGCGTATTGGACCTCCCAGCTATGTGTGTCATGTTCCTTGTGTCAGTGTATATTAAACCAGAAGCATCAAAACTCCTTGATCTTGTTTTGCTTTGTATTTATTCCATATCAGAAGGGCTCTGTGCATTGATTCAAATGGGGCATGGTGTTTGGAAAGCACTGGGGTAGGAGGCAGACTGTAATCTGTTCTAATCCCTCTTTGCAATGGTTCTGTGCAGTTAAGCAGCTGCACAGGCAAGTGTTAATTTGGTGGGTTTTGCTCATCTCGGTTTATTTGCTGTGTGCTTTGTTTCAGCATTGAGGG